GCTGCTGTAGTTGTGGGTAGGTGAAAATGTCTTCATCATCAAGGTCTTCCTAGGTTCTGAGCGCTTGACCCTAAACTCATGGCGCTTAGTGGGAATCAGGAAATCCCTAAACCCTAAACCCTAAACCCTAAACCCTAAACCCTAAACCAAATCCCTAAACCCTGAAATGGATCCTTGGAGCAGGCCTTTTAGGAGCCTTGGAGTTGTTCTGCTGTTGCCCTACTTTAGCACCAGAAATATCTCGCTTCCCAATCCTTAGCCTTAACCCTAAACCCTTATTCTTAATGGTTTCCCAAAATTACGGGCACCTTTTTGGGGGTCCTTACAAAAAGGAGTACCCCCTATTTAGGGAAACTGCCAAATCTTCAGCCCTAAGCATTTAACTCTCAACCCGAAGCCTCTAAACCCTAAACCCTAAATCCCCCAGGGATGTGCGGTGCTGCCGCACCTGAAGCAGATGGTCGATATCATCGCTCATGGCCTGCAGGACATCCCAGGGTTAGTGCAGCAACCTGGGTGCAGTATCCAGGGCATTAGGGTTTAGGATTTAGGGCTCAGGGCTGAGGTTTGGGTTAGGATTTAGGGTCTAGGCTTTTTGGATTTGCAGTTTAGTGTTCAGGTTCCAGGGTGTAGTAGTGTGGAAGCCTGAACTACTAGGGGGATTTCCTGACGTTTAACCCTTTTCATCATATCTCGTTCTTAACTCGATGCATCGGGCCTGGAAAAACTGCTTTGGGTTATCCAGGTCCGACAGTAGAGGCCTTTCAGTTTAAGTTGGTTCAGGTATTTGGAGCACAGAGAAGTTTAATGTAGACCCATAATTAACAAACCCCCTCCTTTTAAGGGCCTTAATATTAGGATCCCTATTATAGTCCCTATCATGGGGAGGGGGTTTATTAATCAGGGGTCTACACTAGGGATCATGGGCTCAATGCAGCTGCGGTGTTGTGAGAGATCAGTCTAACGGGGATTTCGCTTGTGGAGGGGGTTGGGGGTGGTGGTTTGGTGTTGTACCGTTTGCAGCCTATGGCTTGCGTTTAAATACTGTTTATGGAGCCACCGGCTTTACCTTGTGGGTTCAGGGTTTGGGAACAACTTTGGGCATTCGCCCGTAGTTGTTTCTGCAGCTTTTCTTGGGGTCCCAGCAAGTCAAGGCTATAAGTTTGGATCATTCCTTCCCCCTTGCAGTAACTGTCAGAGAAGGTCTCTTATTACGGGGCTATTGTGAGTCCTAATGTCGATTGGGGTAACGGCCACTGTCTGGGGGAATTGCCCAAGCTATAGGAAGATGATGTAGGCTTCCCTATTGGCGGCATCAGCACCACAGGGTTTAGGGATGCTTCTCAGGGCAAAAGGCCATGTCCTTGAAAGGAAGGCGGAAGCCAAGATCTTTCGATGCAATTCTGAATGTTGCAGCGATTTTCAGATCACTCACTGGTTGTTAGCTAAGTTATCAGGGAATGTTGTACTAGCCGTTACATGAGCTTCAGTCTTTACTGCTTAAAGGGCAGCAGTATTCTAGGGGTTATTAAAGGGGATGCTAGGAGTTTCGACTATAGCTCATATCAGTAGTCTCCATTGCCTTGTCCCTTCCGTCGCTCCGACCCTTCACGAGCACCCGACAGGCTTCATAGACTTAGCGACTCCTGAAGATGATGAGTCAATGAAGAGACCGGCCTTCCGTGAAAGTTGAGGCAAGGAGAGACTTGCGGGAGGATTAATGCCATCCGCAGGAGCGATGTCCAGCATGAGATTGTTGGAATTTGTCTGGGTCTATAGTCCCCCTTCAGTAGATAGAATATGGCTTTGGGTATACTATAATAAGATCCCCCATATACCCCATATTCTATCTATTTAAGGGGCACTCTAGGGTTTAGGTTTTAGGACTGAGGATTTAGGGTAAACCCAGTATGAAAGGCCGGTAGGGTCTGAAGGACAGCATAAGGAGATGGTTTGGGGGAGTTTGGTTGCTACAGGCTTTACAGATGTCATTAGGAACCCTGAACCCTAAATCCTAAACCCCTGAATCCTAAATCCTAAACCCCTAAACCCACACCCAAAACTCTGAACCCTAAACAGGAGTCAACCTTGCTTGGTGGCAGAGATTTACCCTCCTACAATCTACTGCCCGCCCCTATCCCTTACTCCTAACCCTACCCCGACTCCTGCCCCAGCTGCTGCTGCATCTGCATTACAGCCTCATTTGTTGTACCTGCAGGATGAACAGCAGAAGGTGCGAACCATCACAGCTTTGGCCCTTGCAGCCCTCGCGGAGGCCTTGCGCAATAGATGTAATCTACATAGAGGTACCTTTGGGGACTGTAGAGATGTATGGGGGTTCTGAGCAAAGTCGAATTTGGTTTTGGATGTAGAGTTTTTGCGCCTAAGCGGAAATCTGGGGCCTTTAGCCTTGCGGTGCCGTGGTAGTACTGATGGTTGTGTCAAGAATATTGTATGAGAAGCGCTACCATAAAGGAGAGGAAAAGTGAGAACTTGATGCCACAGCTATTATGCTTTCCGGATGCCGTGCCTGGAAAAATCGGATTTTAGGAGATACCCATCTAGTAGAATATGTTGCAAGTTGCTTGTTCAAGCTGAGTTTTTTCCTTTGGCAAGAGGTCCAACTTTTACAACAAGGGCTCAGAAGTTTAGTCGAAGGTTCTTGCTGGGGTGGTCGCATGGTGTCGCTGTGCGCAACAATCTCATCTCCCGCTGTCCAGAGGGACAGTGAGTTTCACGACCCAGCAGAGTTGGGGGCTTAGGTTTAATGAGTCTTCAAGTAACTGTAAACAGTACCAATATCCTAGATCCTTATAGGAGGGCAAAACATAACGAGTGTCCGATTACTTTGATTTCTTGGCCAACGATGACCCCTACTCGTGCCTGGCTCCCCAGCCCTCAGCAAGAAAATTCTATAATCGAAGTACCGGGCCTTTAGGCTTGGCAGAGGGAGTCTAAGTATGGCACATAATGGCTATATATGTATATATGTACATAATATGCATTTTGTTTCGGGAGGCCTGGATTAAGGTCTAAACCAGGGTCCCCCTTTTCATAAACCCCACGAGCGTTCTGACACCATTCCTCCCAGCTACTTCCTTAACTCCTCCTGAGAAGCATAGGTTGGAGTCCCTGTGCTGACTTGTTTCAAACTCCCCAAATAGTCGCTGCGGTGATAGCAGCAGAGACCTCACTAAATATGGGACCGACAACCTCGGCGGGCAAATGTACCATGCAGGCGGCGATGCCCTACGGCATTGAGGCCTTCGATACTGTGCTGCGGCCGCTGTGGAAAGGCTGGATATCAGGGTTTGCAGGTTTGACAGTCTGGGGGCATCTAGGCAAAGAAGTACTTTCATGGGGACATGGGCCTCGAACTGTTAATAATCCCTCTTATAGTCCCTGTAGATTCCTGGGTTGCCTAATCATGTAAATCTCCATGGTAGAGGCTGGGTCTTCGATTCTTCATACCTGGGGCCCAAAAGTAAGTAAAATAATAGCCCGAAATCCTTAAGACCAGCCCACATACTTTTGGGGTCCAGGTAGAAGCATTTACATTATGAGTTCCCTACATCCCCTAAATCCTTGAAACGCGCTGCTGCACTTTTCGATCTGCTTCCCTGTCCCTCACATATCCGTGGAATTCCAACATCTCCCTGAACATCCATGGCTTGAGCCCTAAACCCTAAAAGTATGTGAAATGATAGCCCTAAACCCCTAATAGTAGCCATAAAGGCCATTATTTTACATACTTCTGGGGTCCGGGTAGACCCTAAACCCTTCAGGAGGTTAAGGTTTCCTCTAGGGGTAAGTAGGGAGTAAGGGAGTGTAGCACACACGGACTATATAGGGATTGTGTTCCTTCATTTCCTACGAACCACCAGTAAATTCAGGGTTTGGAGGTGTGGGCTTGCGGGACACTTCAAGGAATATTTCGCACTCGATAAAGCTGAACTTGTTCGGTGAAGCGAGCTACAAAATGCAGCTCGGTTTGCTTCCTTCAGAAGCACCTGGCCCACTCATGCATGGAAAGCCCAGTGGAAATGCTGGGCCACGAGGAATAATGTGAGACCTCGCCAGGTAAAAGTCCGAGGCTAAGCTTATGAACGTGACATGACAGCTCCGCTTTCTGTGGCCGATACTATCTCAAGTTCTCGAAGAAAGAGGTAGGTGTTTCGTCTGTGTCATTGTAGCAGATTATTCGCATGAAGCCCTTGACATCAGCATTGTGCCACTAGCAAGTCGTAAGGGACGAGGTTTCATGGCGGTTTTCGAACTAACCCCTAAATGCGAAGCCCTGATGATCAATTCGGATTGCTCGTAGACCCGATTGTACCGGCTTGGGAAGCATTACATGGGGAGGCGGGTTCCCAAAACCAGGGCCCCAGTGGCTCCCACATAAGGCTTACAGTTTATTGGGGTCTATGCTGGGGTCCCTTTATTTACCGCAACGACTATATGGAAAAGCTGGGTTCTCCTGGTCAACCTTCCCTCTGCTGGTCCACTCTTAGACCTGCTCCTGTAGTATAGTCTGGGAAAATAGCATTCTAGAGTAGAGTATAGTGTAGTAGAGTACAGTACACTACAGTAGAGTACAGTGTATGAGAGTAGCGTACAGTGTAATACAGTGTAGAGTACGTGGGCACCAAAAGCATGTAAGTTAATAGCCCAAAACCTTTTAAAGCAGCCCAAAAGGCTATCACTTTACACATTTTGGGGGTTCAGGTAGTACTGTCTTATACAGTTGCATCGCATAATAGAGTAGAGTATGGCATAGCCTAGCGTAGAGGCTTCCTAGCAGCAAAATGTCAAATGTGGTGGCGTGGTGCAAGCGGTCAGCATCATTGGTTCTCCTCCTGTCGGTGCTGCTGGGATTTCTCTTTCACTTCCCTCGGTATTCTGAAGCAGAGGATGCTGAAACTACGAAAGCATTTGAGCGAGTGAGGCTTTCACTTGGGTTCAAGGCCCTGCCGGTGATGACCTACAACATCCGGATAGACATGGAAGAGACGGATGCGAACAATCACTATACCAAGCGCGTGGGAAGGCTTGCAAGCTTCATCAGCCGCATGGATCCATGGCTGATAGGACTACAAGAACCCTCTTCAGGACAGCTGCTTCACTTACAGGCAGGCTTGGCAAGGCACTGGAAGGCTGTAGGCTACGAAGGGAACGGGCACAAAGACATGGACCGAGCAGATCCTCGTCGCTTTAATGATTATCAGACAGGCATACTTTATGACTCCCGCCATCTTGAGCTGATTGAATCTGATCACCTTTGGCTATCCAAAAGTCCCAGGACCCCTAACACAAAGAGCTGGGACAGCGTCGGGGTACGCACCGTCACGATCGCAGCGTTTCGTATGAAAAAGGATGCGTCGCCGATAGACATCGTGCACCTGAACTGTCACTTAGATGTTTGGGGTTCTGAGGCCAGGCTACAGCAAGCTAAGCTCCTCTTGCAGTTTGGCCAAGAATGGAGCAAGCGCCATTTGAACGCCACCATCCTTCTGACTGGGGACTTCAACACCGCAAACAGTCATGCGCCGCATCGTGTTTTGCTGGAAGGAGGCTACACCGACAGCTGGGAAGTCTGCGAAAGTCTCGACAAAAACTGCATGTCCCACGATTTTGCGGCAACGTTTCATGGATGGCTTGGCAGCTGTATAAACAGCTATGCATTGCGCGCATTCCAATTCGTTCTTCAGACCATCCATGCTTGCGGCGTCGACTTCCCAAAGGCAGTTCCAGGCAGCATACGTGACGTTGGCCGAGCGGCCATGAAAATCATGAAGCAGTTGGACCTTCAAAAGCTCAGGCGCAACTTCCCGAGCTCGCTATCCAGACTGCACGTTGACTGGATCCTCGTGAAACAGAACCTCCAAGGGCAGACATTGATTCCAGAAGCTGTCATCGTTGCGGAAGTGAGAGACAGGGACTTCAGCAGTGATCACTTTCCTTTGCTTGCTGTTTTCAGGCTGCCGAGCTAGGATCCCAACGCTGCACTGGAAATGAAATTGGTAGTTGCCATATAAAGGGGGCCCCAAATAGACCCCACCATATTCTTATCCTGCTTATTATGGGGGACTCCCAGGAATTTCTGGAAACCCCCACATCTAGACCCAGAGCCACGAGGCCTGAAATTCTTGGAGACCTGATCGTTTGGGCATCGGAAGCCTCGTGACAGTTCAGCCACTTCACAGTCCCAGTTGAAATCTAGTGGTTTTTGTGGTATCAGGCTTCAACAAATGCCAGTAAGTATGAATAACAAATTGCTGCTGGCGGTACTCAAGCAGCGGAATCATCAAAGCATCTACAGCCGATTGCACTCTGAAATCTTAGCACTTAAAACTGCGTCTCCGAGCCTTCCTGTACGTGTTACAGTAGTCTTCTTGGGAACTATTCTTCATTTTTCAGTATACAACCCTGAGGACCTAGACCCTCCATCTACCCCCCATATATACCGTAAACAGGGACCATATATTCCCATTAAAAGGTTACAAGGAGGGTCCTGGGAACTCGTCAAAACATGCTTTTTATAGGTCCAGGGGATTGCAGGTTAGTATTGCAAAGCCTCGATATGCAAGAGCCGCATGAGTAGTCGCCTGCCAGAAAGTCGCCTCAAGCCAGCACCCTTGATCCTAGACCCTGATCCTAAACCCTAGACTCCCAGACCCACCAGGAACCCAAAGCTCACAACCCCTCCTAAAGCTCGACGCCCGAACCCTAAACCCGAAGCATCAAAGCCTAAACCCTAATCCCTCAGATACTCTGAGGCCTGAAGACCCAAACCCTACAAACCCAAAGCCATCGATTTTGGGAGTTTCAGGCCAAGATCTTATGAGCTGCTGCCGGTGCTAGTCTCACCAAGGGGCCATGGATATTACGTCCTATTACGGAGAATAAAATGGAAAAGACATAGAACAATAACAACAAAACTGGGTGTATATAGCGGTTCATTGGGGATACATGAGCTACTGTCAATATGAGGCTCTCCAAGGGTCGGTTAAGGGTCCCTTTGGTAGTTTAGTATAATCCCTAATTTATTACCTGCTAAGGACTCACGTTCTTTAATTAATCCGGGAAATCTTGATTGTAGCCCTTATACACTTGCTCATGTTTAGTTGGGAATGGGAGTATGCATCCGTGTAGTAGCCCCGATATTATCATTCACCCATGAAAAGACTTGTAGTAGTCCCCATATTTCCAACGAAGCCCTGAGCCTGGAACGCTAAGCTCTGAGCCCCAAGAAGTATAGCAGCCTCCAGCTTCTTTGCTAGTGCCCCATGCCCAAGTAAACTCTAGACCCCAGATCCTAGATCCAAAGCCCTTAACCAACCTACACAGTATGCTTGAAACCTTATATCCCAAGTAGCCCTTTACCCGAAGCCCCAAAACCCCCAAATGATAAAACCCTGAGCTTAAACTTCAACCTTGTACCCTAAATCCTTACCGCTACACTCTCAAACCCTTAGCCCTCCAACCCTCAACACCGGAGGGTTTAGGGTTTAGGGTTTCGGGGTTGTCGTTAGGGAGCTTAAATGAAGTTTCCATTTCGTCTTCCTTTGCTTTGCCACTTGATTCTTCCTTCTGGTGGCTGAAGCCTTACATCCTGAACCCTAAGCCCTTGATTATGGCAACTTAAACCCTAAGACCTAAACCCTAAACCCTAACCATGGTAAGATCCCTAAGCTCTAAACCCTAAAGCCCATTGACTTAACAGCAACCCAGCTGTCCAGGCATTTGCGAACATCGAGGTAAGGGCCTCGCTGCCTTCTTGAAGGCCTGGTTTAGGGTTTGGGGTCCAGAAGTCGACGCTTCGGGTTTAGGATTTAGGGTTTGGGGTTTCGGCTTTAGGAATTTGGGTTTAGGATTTAGGGTTTGGAGTTTAGGATGTATGATTCAGGGTTTGGGGTTTCGCATGAGGGTTTGGGGCTTAGGATTCAGGGTTTGCAGTTTGCGACCTAGGGTTTTGGGGTTTTAGACTTAGGGTCCTAAACCCTATACACGCTAAGCCCTAAACCCGAAAACCTAAGCACTAAACCCTAAGCCGTGAACCCCAAACTCTAAAACACAAACCCTAAGCCCGAAGCCCTAAAATCTAATTATGACGACCAGGCTTGGGGCTTGGGGGCTTGGGACTTCGGCAGTCGGTTGTCAGAGCTCAGTGCTTAGGATTGGACTTCCCATTACCTACAGCTTAGTAGCCATAGGTTTTAGGTTTTAGGGTTTAGTAGATAGAACCCATACCTTAGGTCAATCCCCGCTACAGTAATAGCCCCCAAAGATTGAGTTAATAGGGGTTTAATATACCTAGAATGGTCCTCTGTGATACCCATCACTGGGTGCGGGATTGACCCAGCCCATACAACTGTAGGTTATTGGGGTTGCAGGTGGGATTGGGTGTGCTTCCTGGTGCTTCGGGGAGAACGCTGGAGTGGATCCCTTTGACAAATCCCAACTACTCAGCAATTTTAGCAATAGTTGTAGCAGTAATAGCAATAATCTAATCATATTGGTCCTAGTAGTAATAGAAAGAATGGTCCATCGTGGTAGCCACATTCCTCCTTCTCCCCTTAAGCACCAGTTCGGGCCGAGGAAGACTTCACGTAGGATCAGGCTTTCCTTGGCATGCGTCTAGATTCTTCAAACTCACAGCAGCATGAAGGATTTTGCTTCTCCAAATAGCTTACTACAGCCTCCAACATGGTCATATTCCTCACTAGGACCCTTTGTGTGGGGATTATCATTTTCGTATACGACTCTGATTTAAGGGATTACAATAACCCTATTAGGCCTTATTAGGCCCTACATAGTCCTTATTAGTGCGGGGGTACCTTTGGGGGGGTACTACTGTAATCCCTTATGATTGTAGCTCACCTGCAGCTTCATGAGGACTTGAGGTTTCGTGGCAGAGCCTTGAGGTGGATCTACCAGGGGTTAGGGTTTGGGTTTGGGTTCTGAAAACCTACTTAGTAACTGTAGTTATAACCTAATTATAAGTCCCATAACTACAGTTACCCTAGATATAATTGGGTTATAAGTACAGATACTAAGTAGGTTATAAGCACAACGGACCTCCAAGTTGTGGCTTGAATAGGGGACCCTATATACTAATCTTTTAAAGAGGCTTTCAGGGGCCAACCGAGGGAATTTCTTCGGGATGTTTCACAATCATTCATAGGGTTGAGTGCCCTTGAGGGTGCTGTTTCGAATCTGGGATCAAGGCTTGTCTGCCAGGTGCTTATGGGGGCGTGGGGGAGTGGATCCCTATCATCCCTGTAGAACAGAACCTTTATAATGGTACCTTTACTCCTTCCCCCAGTCCCCCCTTGAGAGCCAGTACTTGGAGGGTCATGGGGGCTTAGTAAGTAGGGTAGTGACCCCCGATAAGCCATATCATAACCCCAACTATCCCCATTATCAACCTACTCGCTAAGTCCCCATGACCCTTGAAGTAGGTAATAACTTGCTGGATATTGGAGTTGCTCATCCTTGTATTCATCGAGGTGTTCCCTTATGCTTCTAAAGTTGTGAGGAGCTCTTAGAAGTCTGAATTCCCGTTTTATGTGCGAAAGTCCAGTGGCTTCACCGACTGCCGGGCTACAAACGAAGTTCCCAGGGTTGACGCGAGCTTTTTTTGGCCTCGATGTTAGCTATGAGAGATCTAGGTGGCGAGCAAAAGCCTGACTGAAGTAGAGCAAACTTGGTATCATTCATGGACAGCACTGGCAGGGTTAGCTGCTGAACTTCAAAGATTCACATTTGCAAGAACCCCAGTCGTGGGAGGCTATCGGCTACATCATCCCGCTCATGGACGCTGAGCACGCGAATTATTATACCCGAGAGGCGCTTGAGGAGTGTCCACTAAACTCGTCATGAGGTAGAAGCACACTCAAGTCAAAACGATGCCTCTTTTCCATCCTCCTCTTGGCTACTGTAGATGAGTCTTACTATTCTGTTCGTAGTGAACCTCTGTCTTCAGAGTAGCACCCTTGTCTAGGGCATTTGGCAGACCCTTGCTTGAATATTCCCAGGGTGGGCTGCGGTTACTATGACGAAATTACTTTGAGTTCTTGCTGTGCTTTGCTAACCAACGTCAGTGATGACGAGGCAAGTGTCCGGTTTATTTGTAGGCCCTTGCCTTGCCTCAACTCAAACGATAACATTTCTAATTGTCCTGATGGAAGCCCTCTGGTAAGTTCCCTGAACCCTAAACTCTATATGCCCCTATAGAAGCCCTATATCCACCTTTTAATGGTACCTCTTAATTCTGGGAAGCTGATGTTTCCCCGGCACTTTAACTTCTCACAGTTTAGCTGCAGTGGTGGCAGTATCGCCTTGAAACACCCGTCCAATAATTTGAGCGGAATTTCCAATCTTAACATGCCTTGTTTGAGACCACATATCTTGATCAACACCGTCAAGGGCGCATCACATACCGCAAGCTGCCGACGCTCACTGTCAATCATGGTGTTTGCCGGAGCAACTGTCATGACAATCTCGACGGATTTTGGGTTGCTATCAAGGAGCTCAGAAGAAGCTACATTTGTGAGGAAACCATCTCGTGATATATATAGATATATGTACCCATGCCAGGTAACTTCAGTTTGCTCATGGTAAGTTAGTTTGAGTTCCTTAATAAAAAAACCTGACTTTTCGAACAAGAGGGCGGGTAGACTCTGGTCCTTGCAGGTTGGAAATGGTGGTGGAGGTGGTACGTCTCATTCCTTGGAGACTGCTCCGCTCAGTAACAGTTGGAGAAGAATTGAAACATGAGCATGTGAGCTATAGTCTAAACTCCCTAAAGGGGGGTTATATAGGGGATCATATAGGGGCGTGATTATAGGGGTTATTAAGGGGCATACTCGGAGTTTAGACTATGGCTCATCTACAGCCTGTAATGTTACCCCCAGTAAAGATTGTTAAACCTTAAAAACCCAAAACCCTAAACCCTAAACCCTGAACCCTAAACCCTAAACCCTGAACCCTAAACTAAACCCTAAACCATAAAATGGGAATTGTGCCCAACTCATCCTCGGGCAGATTGGGGCAGGTGCCTCAGCAAGCTTACAGTATTCATAATCCGGCCAGCAGCTCCTAAAGAATAGCAAGATCCAAAATACTAAGACCTTGGGATACAAAAACACATGAGCTATTGGCTAAACTCCTAGTATCCCCCCTTAATAACCCCTATAGTAGTCCCCGATATAACACCCTTTAAGGAGTTTAGGCTATAGTACGCCTGAATCCTTGAGCCTGCTCCCTTCGCCCGTAGCCGCAAGCCCCTGGGCCTGGGAGGTCATGATCATCTTGATCCGAGAGTTCTCCACGCCGGATGAAGAGATGAAGAAGATCGTGCTGAAGGTGTGGGGTGGGTTTAGGGTTTAGGGTTTAGGGTTTCTTGGCAGATTTGTAAACCCTTAGAACACTCTGCCTAATCCCAAGTTCCATTGGAGTTTTTTTTTGGGCAGATTTGTAAACCCCCTGAACATTCTGCTGAAGCCCAACCTCCATTTCATTGTCCATTACCTTATCCATCTGATTCTCCATTGTTGTGGTTAATATTATTATATAGGCCGAAACCCTAAACCCGCGTAGGGAGAGAACATGGCGCATCTTCAAACCTGATAAGACCATTGCAAGAGACCTTTGTGGGGCCGTCACAGTTTAGACTGTAACCAGTTTAAGAAGTACGAACCCAGCTGTAAAAAGAATCCCCCAACACGGATGAGTATAATTCCCAGATCATATACCTGTATTCAAGGGTGCATTGTTTGAGAAAGGCTCAATGAGATGGGTGTCGCAGGTGCCCTTGAAGCCCCAAAGCGAAGGTGCTGGGTACCTATGGGTAGTCAGCTGCCCTGCATACACCGTGACAACGCTTTCTTGAATTTGTTGGTTTTCCTTTCTCAGCAGTTGATACAGAAAGCTGTGTAAGCGCAGGCCCACACATCACAAGATGAAGGGCTAATCTTCAAACAGCATCCTGAGCCAAGTATGTGTTCTCTTCGCACTGACACACAGCTCTAGACCCAATAGCCGAAGTCCTTCTCCCTGGGCCCTCAATCCGAAGCACGGAGCTTTTGCATAATGACCTATGTGCTGAGCCGAAAACCTTGGAGTCAAAGCCCTGCACCCTGTGATTCTACCAGGTCGTGAAGCAGTGCGTGGCCACCGAGGGTGTGGAGCCAAGCTACATCCGAGAGGCCATTGCTCCTGGGAAGACGGTTTCTGGTTTAGGGTGCGACGTAAGCTGCATTGGTCCGCGTCAGATTTTGAGCAGCAAGTGTTAAGCAGCTACGACTCCTCTTTAGAGAAATATGGTAGTTTCCCCAAAATGGCGAACCCCAATATAAGCCCTAATATAAGCAGCTACGACTCCTCTTTTGAGAAATCTTTGTTCTTTGAAGCATGGCTTGTACTTGGCTCGTCCAGTCTCAAGGATCCTAAGCCCTAACCCCGTATAGTCCCCCTTAAGTAGATAGAATAAGAGGTATATGGGGATCTTATTATAAAATACCCAAAGCCATATTCTATCTTAAGGGGAACTATAAGCCTAAAACCCAAAACCCTAAGCCCTAAACCCGAACCGTTGCAACTTCTTTGGTAGCTCCAAGACGTACCCCTAAAGCAGCTTCTCCTTGCCGAGCGCCATTTTTTTTTCTTGTCACTACCTGGATCCCCCCCAAAACCCTAACTGTAAGCCCTAAACCCTAGAAGTATGTGAACTAATAGCCTTTGGAACGATTGTCCGGGATTTGGGCCAGTAGTTTACCTACCTTTTTGTGGTCCAGGAATGGAACTTATGGTCTTGAGATTGCAGCCGGTCCTTCTTCTTTCTTCTCAACTTTTTGGGTTTAGGGTTAAGGGTTTAAAGTTATCTGCCTTGGGATGACATCACTAATCTACTCCTGGAGGTAAGCGTGGATACTTTGCTTGACGTCGCTGCTACGCTCCCTAAGACTTGCAGCATGAAGGGCAGCACAAGATTTCCTCAGTCAGTCGGAGAACAAAGACCTGCTGCCGCCTCCTAAAGTCTACTTTAGGAGGGCCCCCCACCCTGTAATAGTGATATATTAGGAATATAAGAGCACCCTAACATAAGCCCTATTGTCCCTTATAGTCACTATTACAGGGGGGGCACCTAAAGTCTACAACAGGGCCTCAATAGTCACCAATATTGCGGTCTTAGGTTCCTTGAGTAATTTTTGGAAGTACCTGAAACAGACCGCAATATGGTAATTACGCGGCCTCTACAGTACCCTTAAAAGCCCGGAGGAAGGAGTACCTGCCAGTCTGCCCCGATAGCTCGCGATAGAACGAGTCTCGAACTATGGCGCTAGCATCCTAAACCCTGAGCCCTCAACGCTACTCAGACTTGCATACGCTCAAGACACCAACCCCCCCCGGACCTCCTACGTTGCAGAATGCTGTCGAAAACAGCCTGAGCCCAAAGTTTCATGTTGCTCTTTCTCAACAAGACAGGTCCCCTTATCCGCCCCAACATAACCAGATACAGACCCTCAGTTCTGAGAGCTTCCCATGTACCCAAACCCGAAACCCTAAATCCTACCCTTCATGGCAGGATATCCTGCCTCCATTCTTCCGAAATTTCTGGGTGGCAGTGGGCCTGGCGTGGGCAGTGCCCAGTTTTGGGTCCCAGGGGCCTCTAAGCCCAAAATCGTAGGGTTTGGAAGTTAGGGGTTAAGGGTTTAAATCCTTTGGCTTGCAAGTTTCCCCAAAACCCTACCTGGAACGCCAAAGTATGTACAATAATGGCCTTCTTGGTTATTTTTGGTGTCTTTGGCCACCATTGTACATACCTTTCAGGCCCAGGTAGACCCTAAACCCTAAATTCTTTGGGTCCAGCGCATTGAGGGTGCGTGATGTGTTGGTGCTTGCGTGCAGTGACTTACAAGCTTGCCTCTTGTCAGCCGGGAATGAAAGAATTGATCCTGAGAGTGGCCCCGAATCATCCCCACAACAACCTTTATGCCCGAAACCCTAAACAGCCCCGTAACCCTACAAAAAATGCTGCTTCACCCACCGAAGCCCGCAAATGCCTTGCTTGCTGAGCTGCTGTTACGTGCTCAAGGATCTAGTTTAGGGTTTAGGATTCAGGGTTCGGGGTTGGGGTTTCTCGACATGGACGCAGTCCTGATTGGTCTGTGTGGTGCCGGAGCCCCCCCCCACCCTATTTCATGAATACATGAAATATCTCCCTCAGTCATACCAAACAACAACGAGGGGTCCTTAGTAACAGGGTGTACTGGTGTTTGCAGCACGCGGCAGGGATGACGCATCTCAGTTCCCGGCAAGTGCCGAAACCCTTTGCTTTCAACCCATGAAGCCCAATATGTGCAGCTCAGATGCTGCCTGGTTATGCTGAGAGAGCCAGTCTACATGGATACCATGACCGGTTTTTTGAGAATACCCTAATTCCGAATCCTAAACCCCTTAGCAATTTTGAAAGTGTTGATAAAAGCCGGGTGTTGCAATCACAGTCACTTGATGATGCTTTGTTGGGGCTGGAGCTTTATACCTGGCTTTTGAGGGTTTGAGAGGCCTTCCGTTAACATTATTAGCCGGTATGGGCCGCATGGGCTTATGGTTTGGGTTTATAGTCCCCCTTAAGTAGATAGAATATGGGGTATATGGGGATCTTATTATAATATACCCAAAGCCATATTCTATCTACTTAAGGGGGGCTATAGGGTTTAGGCCCTGGTCTTGCCTTCACGGATGATCTGGAAACAGGCCTCACGCGCGAGACTGTGCCCAGCTGCCTGAGCAAAGTAACATGAGCTGAAGAATCCATAAAAGGGCTATAGCAATAATAATAGTAATAACAATAGTAATAATAATAGTAATAGTAGTAATAATAATAAGAGTAATAATAATAGTAAAAGTAATAATAATAATTGCAATAATAATAGTAATAGCAATATTAATCCTAATAGACATAATGATATACACATTGAACCCTAAACCCATGATGGTAGGCATATGTCATGTTCTTCTTACGACTCAACTTCTGAGGTTGGGAATTGTGGTTGCAATGGTCTTATCCTGAATCCCTAGACCTTAGCCTCTGGCCCTTGTCCTTCGAAGCGGAACGTTGAGGCAAACCTTTTCGTGTCATGTGCTCGAAAGCTGCGACGGCCTGTGTAAGGTCTATCTCAGTGAGATGGACCTTAATCTCTGCAAGCTGATACATTATCCACCTTAAGCCTCAATTTCGATTAGTTAGGGACCTAACCTTGAACTCTAAACCTATATTAGAAATTCAGTGTTCCATTAATCGGGGCTCCGAATGTAGACCCCAATGAGCTATATAGTACTTATCACAGGACCCTCCAAAAAGCGACCCCTAACTTGTGTAACGTCGGGCCGTAGATCCCAAATCTCAAGCCCCAAACCCTAAACCCTAAACCCCAAACCCTAAACCGCTTTGCTTTTGCTGTTCAAGCTGTCCACACGCCCCGGGCCACAGCGAACGCTCTCTGGAGGATGGGCCTCAGGGAGCATGCTCCCTTGAAGGGGTTAGGGGGTTTAGGGATTAGGGTGTAGGGTTTAGGTTTATAGGGAACTATGGGGTTTATGCAGGGTGTAGAATTTGGCGTTAGCTTGAAGGGTGACGTAGACATGGCCTCAGGACTTAGAATGAGAGGCCTGGCATTTCAGGACGGATTGAGGTCTTGTGGTGCGGAGTTTCATACTCTTCTGCAACCCGAAACCCTGAACCCGCCTGGGTCGCTGTAAATGTTCGACCCACCCCCACCACGTCGGTGAGAACGTGATGTATGCAAGCCCTCTGTTCTCCGGAGGTGTAAACCCTATAAACCCTTAACCCTATATCCCGTAAACCCTGCACCCTCAGCCCTATCTTGGGGTATGTAAAAAAATACAACTGTGAGACGGAATAACTGGGCCATTTATAGCAACCTCGCCCGACCTCCCTCACCCTAAATGGTGGTTCATAAAGGGAATAGTACCCAAATAGCCTTAAATTGGGAATTGAAATTCTTCTCATGTTCTCCAGAGGGGACCCCTCACGCAGGGAGCTTCTTGAGCTTGACCACGTAGCATCCTTACTGGGAATCCCTTGTAATCCCCTACGTACCCTTACAGAGTCCTCAAGGGTCGCCGTTCAGAGAAGCCTGCAAGTTTTGGGCAGACCTTTTGAGGTCTACCTGAACCCCAAAGGTACGTAAATAATGGCCTTTTGGGCTAATTTTTAAGGGTTTGGGGCTGTTATTTTACCTACTTTTGAGGCCCAGGTAGGGTTTATGGCTCAACTGTTGAGCCAGCGCGGCTCCCGAAGTGAACTCCCTCCAAAGGGCGCAGAAGCTTTTTTGGCTTTGGGTGTAGGATTGGAGTTTAGGGCTTAGGATTTAGGATTTAGGGTCCAAGGTTGAGGGTTTAGGATTTAGCGTTTCCAAGGTTTGGTACCTTCCACCGCCTGCCCCCACAGAGGAGGGAGAAGCAATCTGTTTTGGAATCAGGAAACCATCGACATGTCAAAGGCTAAGCGCTTGAATGCTCATTACACGGTGGACACCATCATTTGCGCATTTGCTATTGGTGTAGACGTCTCATACCTTCTGCTAGTATTTGTCCTGCTCTGGATTGGGTTGAGAGCTTTTATGCATCCCAAGACCTAGTTCACGAACAGTGCAATGATGCTGCTAGCCCTAAACCCTAAACCCTAAATTCGTAAACCCCAGCCAAAACAGTAGACTCCAAACCCTGAAAAAAAGCCCTGTATACAGCCGTTTGATCATCCCCTTTGAAGGGATCCTACAAATCTCTATATGAGCCATTGTCTAAACTCCTAGTATCCCCCTTAATCACCCCTATGGTAGTCCCCTTTTTAATCCCCTATATATACCGCCTTTAAGGAGTTTAGACTACAGCTCATATGGCCTCCAACCCTCCCAACCCTAAACCCCAAACCCTAAACCCTAAACCCCATGGCCTTATCTGCCAGGGCTGGCCCCGAGCGAATGGCTCCCCACGACCACGGCGTGGCTCTGCTTTCAATGCTGCACTGGGTTCTAGGGTTTAGGGGTTTAGGGGTTTAAGGGCTTAGGGATTTAGGGCTTAGGCTTTAGGGGTTTAGGGCCTTGAGTTTTAGGGTTGAGGGGTTTGCAGGATTTGTAGGGTGTAGGGTTTTGGGCTTTTCCCAGGGCAAGCTTTAGCGACCTCACCTGACCTCACCTGTCGCCCCAAAAGGTGGTTGAAATAGAACTAAGCCCTACGCCCTAAAGCCATAAGCCCGTAAAGCCCTAAACCCTAAACCCGTAAAGCCCTAATTTGTTTCAGGTTCTGGAAGCCAGTACTGGGTGCTGTTAACGCATTTAAATTCAGCTACTATAGTAAGGCAACCCCATATCATTTACTATGGACGCATACTACAGTAATTCAAATCCAAGTTCCTTAGCAACAGCCCAATCAAGACATTAGGCCCCTATTGCTTCAAAGTCCTGTCTAGAAACTTCTCAAGAAAGGGCATTTGGCAACCCGAAGGGCTATGACAAGAAGGCCTCTATAGCAGTCATGTAATACTCATAGGGTCCTCATTTTGAGGGTTCCATGAATGCCAAAAGTCTTCAGATGAGGCTTCACCTCTTCAAACCCGCATTCTTGCCTAAAAGTTGCATGCTCGTGGCTCATCCTTCCAACTGCAGTTTTGGCTCGGACCAACGTTTTAGGAGGAACCTAGTGTCACAAAACTGCAGCTTTTGAGTTATGAGGAAATCCGATGTCTGCTACCTGGCACTACAGACGGAGAGAGACTCCCCAGTTTCACTTCTAGTTGTTAGGTAGCGCTGCGGCGCCAAAGCGCCTCAAGCCTTGGACATGTCGGAAGGTTTCGCAATTGTTGGCTCATTTCTTCTGCTGTGTGCATCCGCTGAGCTACTCCTGGCTTCGCATGCCGAGACGGGCGCTGTGAAAGGGCGCGGAGGCTTTATCCTGCTTTATGTCCTGCTATTCACAGGCTGCTGCTGCTGCTTCTTGGCTCTTTTTTTGGGAAGATTCTGCAGGTTGAGGATGATGTGCTACAACTAGTTACGCGCAACATGTAATAGGACTGTTAATACCCCCTCAACCAAGGCCCTTTAAGGACAGTCACTACAGTTACTGGGAGCGGGACTGATCCAAAACACATCCTCATCAACAACAGACGCCTAAGGTTTGGTAAGGAGCCTCATCAAACCCACGCATGATGTGCCGTGCATGCTTAAACCCCTAAACCCAACCCTCAAACCCTAAACCCTAAACCCCAGACCCCAAACCCTAAAAACCCTAAAACCAGCCCAGGCATGTGCCGTGCATGCTTTGCTAACTGTCTCATATGTCAACGCTTCATTCCGCGGAGCTTGACAGGAGAGCTTGATGTGGAACGGGCCCGTCCAGGTGTCTCAACACATGCAGGGTTAAAGCTCTCTAGGGCTTAGGGTTTTGGGATTTTTGGGTTTAGGGGTTTAGGGTTTGGGGTTTAGGGTTTTTTAAAGAATGGGTTCTCAGGGAATCTATGGGGATTTCATGCAGAATCGGGGGGATCCCATGCAGGGTTCGATAGGGGTGGTTTTGAGATACCGCCGCTGCTTGAGCAAC